GCAGGAACTGGGGGAGTATAACACACAAGGGACATCAAGAAGACAGGGCCAGGCTCCTCCCAGGGTACCTGGCAGGAAGAGATCAATAAGCATAAAAATTGGAGAGGTTCAGCCAGTGCTAAGGGGAAACTTCTTCACCATGAGGACAGTCAAGCCCGAGCTCCCTTGAGAAGCTGTGTGCTCTCCATCCTTGGAGGTGTTCAAGGCCCAGCTACATAAAGCTTCAAGCAACCTGTGTTGCTTTCACAGCTGGCCCTGCTTCCAGCAGAAGGATGGAGTAGAGACTCAGGGATCCCTTCCAGTCTCAATTACCCTCTACTCCTACAACACCCTGTTCAAGAAGGGCAGGAGGAGCCCCGTGAGAGGAGCCTGCTCACCTGCTTGACATGAAGAGCTATCAAGCACAATAGCTGATGGCATCCCTGCCAAACATGCTCTATTAAATACTCTATTCCTGATCCTCATTTACTGGGAAGCACAGATCTTATTTTCAGGGAATCCCCTTTAGCTTTGCATGAATTTGCCAGTCAGGGATATAGAGATAAGGCAGAATTAGTGTCATGATGTGTCGTGTGGGTAAGGATTTACTGCTCAACAGATAAAAATTAAATAATCACTTGGCACAGAGCACTGTCCCCTAGATCTGTCATGGTCTCCTTTGCAATCATTTGGCATAGGAAACAGCGGGCACAGAAAATGGGGACAGGAGAGAGAAGCAGGCCTGGAAACTGAACTTCCCCAGAGCACCTGGTCTGGGAACAGCCCTTCACCTTCCAGTGGGAGTCTGCCAGCTATGAGTTGTCTCTCTCTAGAATAAAAAGGACAAAACATCTTCTGTAGCCAGAAGTGTTTGATACAGTGCCACAACCAGCTGCTAACTTGAACATCTCCAGCCTAAACCAGCTGCAGAGCCATGACGACACTGGCAAGCTGTCCCAAAACCCACCATGCAGGGATTTCAGGGGGAGACAAGGACTCCCCAGGAAGAAGATCCCAGGGGATACATCGTCTCCCACAACAGCCTGTGCTGAGGGAGAAGCCGACACATTTCCATCAGAGCCCAAATCCAGTGCAAAGGAAGCACATGATGTCCTTGGCTGGTCTGGCCCTCAGCCTCCACACTGAGACAAGGGATTTGGGAGGGGACACTGCTGACCCAGAGAGGACACTGGTAGTGAGAAAACAACAGTCAACACGACCCTGGGTGGAAAACACCATGTCCCATTGACAGTCCCAACCTCGTGAGCCACCTAATGCTCTCCAAACTTCCCTGCTCCTTATCTGCTGCTCTCCTGCACACACTGCCTCTCTGATTTCTATTCCTGGCCCTTTTAATCCTTCCTGCCTGGGGAGTAAGCAGCCCTTGCAGCCTCCTTGCTCAGCAGGCTATTGAAGAAAAAAGGCTTGTTTTGCTGAGCAGAGCAAACGGGCCACGCTTTTACGATATTTTACTAGACACTGTGGCAAATCCTGCACATATTTGACCTAGTGTCTGTAGCATTTATCTAATCAAAGGGATCACCGTGGTTCAGGCAGGATTGGGATGGAGGACCCTGGGATGAGGCCAAGGAGGGGGCTATACTCTGCCTTAGCATCCTCATCCCAGTCTGCACATCATGAAAGCAATTTTTGGCTAGGATTGCTCCTGCCTAAGGGAAGAGCCACTGGCATGTGAGTGTGGAGAGCTCTGGCCTGTCCCTTGGGAGCACTGACTGGCCGACTTTTTTGCCTGCAGCAAAGGATCATTTATCACCAGTCCCAAGTGAGAAAGCAGGGGTTCTCTGCTGTGCTCAGATTCACTCCTGTAGACCTGAAGCCTCAGGGTAGAAAAGCTTGTGCTATGTAGATCATACTTTTGGGGGGCAAGTGCTGCTTGAACAATTCCTTGTGCTCCTAAAATGTGAATAGCAAATCATCACTAGCATCACTGCCAAAGGCATGTGCTGGTGTGGAGCCAGAGACCTTGGTGTCATGTTGTGGCAGCAATGGTGCCACTGGCACTGGGGCTGCATTGGGGTGCTTGGGAAGGACAAACACAAGCCAGTTGGGAGCCCAAATCAACAGTGTGTGGACTCAGACACTTGCTGCTGGTTGCAAAATCATGGGGATGTTTTCAACGCAGAGAGAACTGATACCAAATCATTAATTGCTGGTTCTCTTGCGCCATGCAGCCGATGCCATTCAGCAATCAATTGAATTCCCACTCAATGGTCTTGCAATTGCATGGAAATATCACAGTTCTGGCTAAAATGGAGGCGTGATGTGCCCAGGGGCAGCTGGGGAGGAGAATACCCAGGCTGGCAAGGAGGAGAGCACGGGCAGCTCTGCTGCTTACTCAGGCACTCCCTGCCCAGCACCAGCAGGGTCAGACCCCAGGGCTGGGTGAGGTGGCAGAACTGCTGTTGGTGTCAGTGTCACATGTATCCACAGAAGGAAAGATCCTGCTGCAGAGTAAAGCTCTGCTGTGTTGTAAAATACCAAATGGAAATTTTAAGACACATCAGTCAAAACCCTAGACTGGGGGGCGTCCAGCATAGAGTGACTTCAGTTGTGGGAGAGGAACAGCCCCAGCAATTCCCAGGGTTCCCATGCCATCTCTCAGCCCAGCTCACTGCTTGGGCATGGCTGCAAAGTGGAATCTGTTTACAGGGCATCAAACCCCTGCAAAGCTTCCTTTATAGGGAAGTAAAAGGAGTCATACACTTTACATAGCAATGTGTAAATTGCCAGGCAGGAGCTGACCTTCTATGACTATGAGGGAGAGAAAAGGAGGAGTGGGAGGGATGGAGGGAGCAAGAAAAGGGAAAAACAAGGATGAAGGCAACCAGTGGTAGGGAGGGGAAGGCAATGACAGAAGTGAAGAGCAACCTTGTTCTCCTGCTAGGGTTTTTCCCAAGTTTTCCACCCCAGGTACAATTAAGACCAACACTGGCAGCTCAGCATCAAGGTCAATAGCCTAGAAAGGTGTTCCCTTGTTGGTGAGTGCATGTTTCATTGGTCCTGTCTGTGTCCAGGAGTTGGGATCGGCAAAGCACCTTGAGATTCAATAATAAACAGTCAACAAGAATCACTGCTGCTCCACCAAAAGAAAAAAAAAAAACGGCTTAGCAGCGTTCTGCAGTGGGTGAGATGATTAAAGATTAACCCCCTGCCTGCTGCCTCCACCCCTCTGGGGAGTACAGGCCTTGAGGCTCAGCAAATCCTTTCAGAGAAATATCTGAAATAAAAGACAACAGATAGGGGACGCAGTGAAGGCAGAGGGAGGCAGGAGGGCCAATAGCCTCAGACAAGGGAATCGGTACAATCTGGCCGTGTTTGTGGATGATAATGCGCCTTTCCAAAGCCCTAATAGACATGGAGATGGCAGATTATAGTGCAGCTCTAGACCCGGCATACACCACTCTGGAGTTTGAGAACATGCAAGTGCTGGCTATGGGCAATGGTAAGTCCCCTCTGTCTTCTCCCCTTTGCTGTGGTGGGATGAGCTGGGCACTGCAGGAGGATAAGTCCTTGGGGTGGCTGCCAAAATGCTCCCATGGAGGGCTCGGGCATGGCAGGGGTGTCAGACAGGAGGCTCCCAGCAGCTCACTGTGGGGTTTCTGCTTATCCCAGGGAAAAATAGAGGTAGCAGAGCAAGGCTGTGTCTGGTGCGGGTGAGATGGTGCCCTGCAGCCCAGACACCTTGGGGATGGGCACACGCCAGGAGTTGGGTGAAATGAAAGGTTCCCACCATTCATTCACAGGGGGTCTCACTTCCCCCAGAACCCAGCCAAGAGGAAAGACTGGCCAAAAGTTTCTGAGTGAAATACTGCTGGCAGTTCACTGGACAGATGACGGAGCCTGTGGCTCCAGAGCAGAAAGTCAGTCCCACTCCAGCAGCAGCTGGAGCTAGGTTTTCCTAAAGAAAGGCATTTGGTGCCTAGCAAGGGTAAAAATCACTATGAGAAGTGATTTAGGTGCTGCCCCCGCAGCTGCTCTGGGGCCATGGCCCTTCCCTGGTACAGCACTGGGGTGTGGAGTGGCATCCCCTTCCCTGGGAGTGCTACGGGGCCAGGAGGCTCAGCCACTAGTAAGAGGGACAAGGGGACCTTGAGAGGATAGACCAATGTCCCCATCCCCTCAGGAGGGTAGGATCACACTTAACCCACCAGGATTCACAGCACTGGTCCACCCATTTGGGCACCAAGGAGTCCTGGTGATTAAATGCTGAGATAACAGGAGATTTCTCTCCAAGTCCCGCTAAAGTCTCCCTAAATATGAGGTTAATGACTAAATGAAGCACACCACAGAAAGGCACCCTCCAAGCCCTTTCTTCCTGTGTGTTGTGTCACCAAGGCTGCTAGGCACCCATGTCCTAGAAGGGCTGTGCCAGTGGCGTGGACTCTTCCATCACAGCCTGTGTGGCTCTTCCCCGGGTTATGGCTCTGCTCCGTCACAGATGTAGCACCGTGGTGCTGAAGTGGCTCTGATGTGCAATAACCCCTTGTCACTCCAGGCTTCAGCCCCTTCCCTGCTCCTGGGGGCTAGTCCTACCTACCCAGGGGCCTCGAGGCCAAAAGCTACCCCCTTTGTCTCTGCCAATGTCCATCTGGACACTTCAGGACAAACCCAGGTCTTGCTCCCTCTTCCATCCAATAAGCAGAAGCTCCTGCACAGGGGGCTGTGATTTGGCCCTCTCAGACCGAGGGCTCCATGGGCAGAGGGACATGATAATTTGATATGACAAGATCAGGTGTGATGTGCCATACACCCTAGGTGTGGATGAGTCAGCTGGGTCAGGCAGCACCAAGCCCTCTCTTCCTCTGCCCAGCTCCAGACCAGGGGCAGGTCTCACTTCCAGGGCAGCTTTGGCTCTCTGCTTGCAGAACCTCTGCTGGCAAAACCTCTGCCTCCTTTTCTGACCGAGGACCACTGCAGAGCTTGGCCCCTGCCCTACACAGCTCTGCAGCTCCAGCCCCAAGGTGTTCAGCAGAGACCACATTTGCCATCATCACAGGCCAAACGCATCCTGTGTTCATACAGACTCAGGGGCCCCTCAAGCAGCTCCTGTCCTAACACAGTTCTCAGCTGCAAAGGTCTCAAAGTCAGATTTTTGCTTTCCCCCATTTACCTTAACTCCAAACCAATCGCATTAAAACCACTTCACTGCAGCAGGGAGAGCCCAAGTTTCTGGCACAACAAAATAAACTTAATTGGAAAATTATCCATTAGGCAATAATTTTATTGTTGTTGGCTATTAGACCAAGATGTTGCAATTTCTGTGATAATGGTGCCAGTTTTTCCTGTTCTACGTTCATCTGATTACAGCATGATAGACTGCAAAAAAAAAGGGATTTATCTGGGCTGTCACAGATACACAAATAATGTGATTACAGGCAGATCAGCTCTTCCTCTCTCATCTAAGTCCTATGTTTAGCTGAAACTGGAAATTTAACTTTACTTATGGAATGATCATCCAGCTGAGCCCTCAGGATATGTATGGAGGAAGGATGATTTCGGAGGCAGCTGCTCATAGGGAGAAGAAACAGCCAGAATGGCCTTGGGAGTTGCTCAGGGCTCTGGGAGTGGACAGAGTTGCTTTGCAGCAGTATTGCTGCACACAGCTGTGTGACAGGGTGTGCCAGGCAAGGACATGGAGAGGCAGCAAACTGACTCATGAAGAGATATGGGAGGGATACAAGGAACTAGAAAGTCAGACAGCAGGCAGGAAAATGAAAGGTACTGCCAGAGCCAGGGAAGGGGCTGGCTTGAGAACCCCTGAGCTGGGTCCATGCCAGTTACTCTTGCTGAAGGATGCCACAAGCTCCTGCTGCAATACCCCTTTTTCTGCAAAATAAAAGCTAAAATTGCAGCTCTGCCCCAGCCAGCCTTGCCTTGGCCTTCCCCAGCACCCCCACTCCAGTTACCACAAGGAACCCTGCTGGGATCAGCCTTTTTGTAGCACTCAGCCCCCTTTCTGCTGGGTGCCAAGAGGGAGCAGCTGTGGCCCTCCCAGGGTGAGCCGTAACTGCATCCCTGCCAAACCCAGAGGCCAGAGACTAATAGACTCCAGCATTAAATCCTAGCTGGTTTCTGTGTCTTTGTAGATCCTGGGTATTATTTGCAACTGGCATTTCCACTGGGGCAGGGGAATGTGCCTATGCTGATAGAGAAAACCTACATGGGAGGGGACAATTAGATCAACTGAATTAAGGGCTGATCCCTTCAGCCTTGAGGTTTGTTTGGCTTGCTGGAGGGGTTTAGTGTGGGCCTTGTGTGGTTTTTAGCCTTTCAGATGTCCTTTCCTCCAGAGGCTATTGCAATTCCCCATTCTCCCAAAAAAGCCCTGCAAGTGCCAATCCCCTTGGCCCATAAGGACTGCAGGACATATCATTCTCCACTGTGGTCCTACCAGGTGGAAGATATCCAGTTAGTGTCACCCTTTCTTTCTGGGTTAGCTTGATCAGCCCTTCCTTGCATGGGTAGCGTTTGCCCACATGAGTTTTCCAGCTGAAGACATTTGAGTTTGTTATATACTTTTAGTCTTTCCCTCACAAAGAAGTGCTGTGCAGGCTGGAGCTCCAGCGCTTGGCAGCAAGGCTGTCAGGCAAAGGGAGCTGGTCACCTCATTTCTGTAACAGCATCTGCTCAGGGCTGTCTTGGGCTCTTTCATTGCTATAACACAAACACCTCCCTAATAAATCAGCTGCTCACCCTGAGCTGTAATACCTCAGCTTTAACTCCGCATCAGCTTTTTTTTCTGGCCACACTGCTGCAGCCCAAAGCATCTGCAAATCCCTAAGGAATTTTGGCTCTGTTCTGTGACTCCTGCAATTGGGCTTCCACTTTATGTGAAGGCGTTGCTGGAGTCAGGCCTTTGGGAAGAGCTGTCTCACCCAGCCACACAGGAAGTTTCAGTGCACTCAAAATGCAATGACTTCAGCACTCAGAGCACCCACTACTCCTTACACACCTCTCTGTCTCGCCCCTGCCACACAGCCTGGCTGCAGTTCCCTGATATTCCTCCAAAGATCAAGTTGATCAGTGGAAACTGAGTTTGGCTGGCTGTCTCACTGGCTTCTTCTTCCTGTGTCCTTCCCCAAGCAGACACATCTCCATCAGAAGCAGCCAACATCAACACTTCCAACAGCATCGGGGTGAGCGCGCTGTGTGCCATTTGTGGGGACCGAGCCACAGGGAAGCATTATGGAGCTTCCAGCTGCGATGGCTGCAAAGGCTTCTTCAGGAGGAGTGTCCGGAAGAACCACATGTATTCCTGCAGGTAAGGACAGAGGGGACAGACTTGCATGGTTGAGACAAAACAGTCCCTAGGAGCTGAACGACAAAGCCCTCAAAGTGCAGCAGCATGGTCCTTCATCTTCTTTATCCTCCCTGCATCCTCCACCACCTTTCCTGACCTCACCCTCCAGCTGGGAAGGGTCAGTGACTGCTATCCCTTTGGGATTGCCCTCCACTGATCACTGGGTAAGACCCTGGAAGGTCTTGCCCCATACTTCACAGGCCAAATTCTCTTTGCAAATGAATATGGCCAAGTGTGGATGTGGCCAGTAAGCAGGAAGATGCTGTGGGAAAAGACCTATTCCAGGGCCTGAGCACCTCTCAGTGCTCTGAGTGCAGTGCAAACCTTGCTCACTCCCTGGGAACACCCCTTCTCTGTCACAAAATGGAAGTGTGCCTGCCATCCACCTAAAGTGCTGTCACTGCTTGTTACATGGTACAGGAACATCTAAGGAGCAACCGATGGGCAGCGTAGCATTCATGTCTGTGACTGTGAGACATTCGTGTTGCTCCTGCAACTTCTGCACTGCACTCTGTGCCCTTGGGGGTAGCCAACACCTCTCCTGTGCCACCAGCAGCTGTGACCTGCCTGCTCCCTGCTCTGAGCAACCCACACATAGATAGGAAACTGAGGAATCCTCAGCTCAGAGTGTGTAAATCCCTTGGGCTTTTTGAGTGAATTACTCCTGGTGGCCTGAGAGCCAGTTGGAGAGCATGAAGAGCAACGTGACTCTAAAATCTTAGTTTGAGGCTTTAAAAAGCACAGTAGAAACAAACCTTTTCAAAAGCTACAGAACACAGCATGGCTGGGAGTCCTTCCCCAGCTCTGTACTCCTTTGCCTTTCCTCTGCAATCTGGATCAATCTGCAGTAAACTAGAGCAAGTGAAATTCATGCTGGAAATGGCCACCAGGCTCGTGCTGCATGCAGGAGTCACACACGTGGGAGATCAGTGTTTGCCTCTCCATGTGCAATGGATTGGTGACAAGTTTGGAGGGAAGGAGCTGTTGTTTCCCAAGTCTTCCCTGAAGCACAAGTGGCTGCAGAGCAGTTTGGACACTAGTGATGCTGTCCAGAGGTCAGAACCAAGCTGTCTGGATCCAATACACAGACCTGGAGAGATGCAGGGACTTAAACTGACTTCTTAACTTTACTAGCTCAAGAACAACCTTGACCCTTTTTTTCCAGAATAAATGCATTCTTCCTCCATTCTAACTGGGATCTAACCTAAAACAGAGGTTGCCAACTTGGCTCTGAACCTCCTACCTCACACTTTTAGCTTCCCTGAGGCTTTTTAGTCCACTATGAGCATCCTGTGCCTAGTGGTTAGTGAGTGAGACCAGCAGCCTGAGCTCCCGCATGAGACTGTCAGCTCTCTGTCCTTACTGAACATCCAGAGGTAGAGTGGAGGGCTGAGGTGCAGTCCTTCACTTCAGTGCAAAAAAGAAACTGCAGGTTAAAGCAAGCATGGAAAAATCACAGACTGGGGCTCCTTTCTCAGGGTGGAGCCTCTGGGAACCTGCTCTGAGCATGAACTTGAGGCTCAGTCTTTTTCTGCCTTCAGCCTCTCCTCACACCTCTCTTTCTTCTCAGGTTTAATAGGCAGTGTGTGGTAGACAAAGACAAAAGAAA